GTTTGGAGAGTTCCTATGCCAATGAAATCACAGATCCTGTCTTTACTCCCTACTGAGTAAAAGAGGAAGGTCAGCTAGAGGACCAGACTTCTGGTTGGAGTGGATGGGATGATTATAACTGACAATTGAGAGAAAGTAGAGATGTTCAACTCAGTTTGCTTCTGCTTTCTCCACCAAGGAGAATGGATTTTAGATGCTAGAACACAAATGGCCAGCAGGCAGTTGACATTCAAGATAAGTAGTAGAAAAATAAGAGAGCATCTAATTGCCCTTGATGAGTTCAAGTCACTCTTTCTAGATGAATTCTATCCCAGGGCGCTGAAGGAAATTGAAAAGGGATGAAAGTAAGCAAATACATAGCTAAAATAAATAGCTAAAAACCCTAATTTGTTCTTAGGGCAGTGTCATGTCCAAGACTGGGGAGGTGAGGATGTTTAGTTTGGAGAGAGAAAACTAAAAGGTATGTGTGGAAGGGTGGAGTGTGGAGGGGGGTGGGAAATGTAATTTCAAGTGTTTGAAAGGCTGTCATGAGGAAGTGGAATTAGAGTAGTTATAGTTGGCTCCAGGAGCAGCTTGGTGGCACAATGGATAGGGTGCCAGGTCTGGAAACTCATCTTCCTGAGTTCAAATCTGGCCTCAGACACTTACTAGGTGTGTGACTCTGGGCAAGTTACTTAATCCTGTTTGTCTCAGTTTCCTCATTTGTAAAATGAGCTGGAGAAGGAAATGAGAAAACAACTCCAGAATCTTTGGCAAGAAAACCCCAAATGGGGTCACAGAGAGTGAGACACAACTGAATAACAAGAAGTTGGCTCCAGAGGGCACAACTGGGAAAAATGGACTGAAATTTTCTTTTCTTTTCTTTTCTTTTCTTTTCTTTTCTTTTCTTTTCTTTTCTTTTCTTTTCTTTTCTTTTCTTTTTTTCTTTTTTTCTTTTCTTTTTTCTTTTTTTTTCTTTTCTTTTCTTTTCTTTTCTTTTCTTTTCTTTTCTTTTCTTTTCTTTTCTTTTCTTTCTTTCTTTCTTTCTTTCTTTTTTTTTTTTAGACAAAGACAAGACTTATTAGAACATCCGATTAGCGGTGGGTGAGATTTAAAGAATCTGCCATAGTGTCCAGACTCTTAAGGAATCGAGCATTTGTATTGCTAATGCAAGCAGGCCAGATCTTAAGAATCCGAGCACCTTAATAGAGGCCAGATGGACCTTATCTACAGAAAGACTGTGGGAGGGAATTAGGGGACTGAAATTTTCGAGAGGTGGATTGAGATTCTGTGTGAGGAAAATTTTCCCAATGATCAGAACTATCCTAGTGTTGACCAGGCTACTTCTGAATCTGTTGGCTTCCTCTTCATCAAGAAAAGGCTGGGTGATCCCTTGTAGGGTAGGTTGTCAGGTAGATTATTCTTGCCTTTGTCTAGATAAGGGTTGTAGGAGATGATCCAAGATAATTTTTAGCTCTGTGAGTCTAATTTTATGATTTTGTATTTCCTCCTTCCCTCCCTTTACCAAGTTCAGTTAAGCAGTCCTTGGAAAAAGGCCTTTGCCTTGGAGGAGGCATGATCCAACAGGCAATGGAGCCATTTCTGAGGTGGGGAAGAGAACCTTTGGCCTCAGAGGGTGGATGTCTCATACTCCTTCTCTTCTACCAGGTCATTCATTCACTCGTTCCACAAACATTTATTAAGCGCTTGCTGTGTGCTTCGTCTTGATTTCTATAGGAGGTACAAAATGCAACCACTCTGCCCCAAACACTCCTCTCTGGTCACTGCTCCCCTCTATGTGGCATCTTCCCTTTTATAATCTAAGTTTCTGGAGGACAAAACCAGTGCTTGGTTTTGTATCCCCAGTGCCTAGCTCATAGTAAGTGCTTAGAAAACGCTTTTTCTTTCATCCATCCATCCATCTATCCATTCACTCTTTAGTACAAATCCTGCTTTTATATGCTTAGAAACTGAGACTCAGAGAGTTAAATGGACTGGGCCAAAGTCACACATCAGATTAATAGTGGGAAGGAACACCAAACTATTTTTAAAAAATGGTGCTTGGAAAAGGCTGTTTCCCCCCCCCCCTTTAAAGCACCCTCCACTCTTTTCTCCTCCATCTCCAAATTCTACTCTTCCTTTAAGCTCTGGCTCCTTTAACAAGCTTACTTGACTTTCCTTCCTTCCCTACCCCCCCCAGCTCTTCAAACCACAGTGGCTGCTCAATTGACAATTGACCCTAGGCACTCCTTGTCTGATACTATGAGTTGTGAGTACCATTTATATTGGGGGTAATGTGTGGGAGGGTGGGGGTGAATTCCAGTCTCAATTACCTCCTTCTGTCTTGCCACAGTATAGTTAAGTTTAGGAGGCATTAATAAATATTTATTGAAGAAAGGGCCCTGGAAGAGAGCATAGATTTAGATCTAGGAGGGACACCCCTGTATTTTATTATCTATCTTTATATGATTATAATCTATTTTATTATATTATTATTTATATTATGTCATTATTTTATATTATTATTTTAACACACAATATATTATATATTATTATAAATCTATTTTATATTATAATCTGTATTATATACTAAATATCATATTGTGCATTTAATGTGATATATATTATTGTAACTATTTATTATTATATTTTACTATTATTATATTTATTAAACTGAGATTGAGACGTTAAAAGCCTTGTCCAGCTGGCAAATATACGAGGCAGGATGTGAACCCAGGTCTTCTTGCCTCCAAGCCCAGCACTCTATCCATTGTACAATACCACCTCCATCAGAAGATCTAGATTCTTTTCTTGGTTCCACCATTAATTGCACCACCAATGACAAATCATTTTTCTTTTCTGGGACTGTTTCCTGTCCTGTAAAAATGTTATAATAATCCCTTCCCTGATACCCTCCTTGGGTTGTTTTGGGGACCAAAGGAGGTAATGAATGGGACCCCTTTTGGGAAGAATCGTCCGAATGAAAGAGAGAGAGTTAAATTTTACTTGTCCTTAAAGGCCCAACTCAAATGCAATCGCTTCCATGAAGCTTTCCATGCCCAATCATAGAATGATTCTGTGATCTGAGATTGTGTTTTGGAATGGGAGCCCACTCAGGTGTCAGGGCCCTGAGGGTATTAAAATAAAGAAGGCTGAGGAGCTTTTGCCAGTGGCCCTGAAGAGGGCACCAGCCAACTTCCCACCCTGCGGCTGGCTTGTAAAAAAGCAGAGAAAAGCAGCGATTTTCTGCTAGTGCTCTGAGCTGACTCCTATACTGTGGTTTTCAGGCTGGCTGCCCTTGAAGGAGGGAGAAACAGAAAACCAATTGAGATTTCTTAGCAATGGAATAGCCTGCTTTACCATACCATAGAAGAAGAAGAAGGGAATTCAGCTGAGACAGAGAGGTGGGCATCTCTGTCCTGGATGGTTTTCCTCTGTATGTTTGTGTCAATGTTCCTCTGTGTCAATGTTCCTCTGCGTTGCAGATGTCCCTTGGAAAGTCTTGTTGTGATGCTGGGGCTATTCTGTGAGCTGCCTGAGGCTTTGGGAGCACAGGACATGGGAGGGCCCTGTCAGACAACACCTTTAGAAATTCCTGAATCACAGAGCTGGAATGGTACAACTGATCTGACTGCCTCATTTTACAGATAGGGAAACTGAGGCCTGGAGAGCTAGAGGGATTTGTACGTGTCATATAGCTAATAAGTGACAGAGCTGGGAATAAAAAAAATTTATTTTGAAGAATTCCTCTTCTCTCAGGGGAAGGTGAGACTTTTGCGTTCAGAGGTCAAAAGCTGGGAGTCATACATTTACTGGCCTCAATACATTCAGGTTTGTTTATTAGTTCATTTAGAAGCTTGGCCAGGGCAAGTCAAGACACCAGATGTGGCTGTCCAGAGAGGGGTCAGTTCCTTTCTCTAGATCCCCAGACATCTCCCTTCTTCCCTCACCACTACACCGCCCCCCCTTCCCCACTGCCCTCTGCTGACATCCCCTCCACCAGACTGAGCCCAGTTTGTGTTTAGTTTAATAATCTCCCGAAAGTTTAATTGTTGCCTTATTCATCCGTGACCTTTCCCTCTCATCTGGAGACATATTATTGCTAATCTACAAATTTCAAGAAGTAGATTTATTTGCAAAACCAATTACCTGCCTATGCAAATCGCCTCTCTCTTTGCCGCCTGCTCCAAAGGGGCCTCGCTGCTGTCCCAGATAGAGACGCTATTCAAATACTTAAATGTAAAAAACTTATCTATATTTCTTCGGAGCTAGGCCTGGTCTGGTCTGTGCTGCACAAAAGCTAATTAGAATCTTTATAATCAGATTTGGGGGCCCCAGACCTCGATGTGGGGGCCCCTGGTTTGACCTCAGAAGTTTCCCTGGAGAATCGGGGTTGGACAGTGAACTAGGCTGACGTTAAGTTTCCTGCCCCTTTACCCCCTGTGGACCCAGTGGAAGAAGAACCTTGCTTTCTGTAGCAAGGATGCTGTCAAATGAAGGACTCTCACTCCAGCTTGATGATGTTGGACCTTGGAGGGGTGGGGGGTGGGACGTCAGGTTTTTTTGTTTTTTTGTTTTTTTTGGGGGGGGCCTAGGCAATGGGGTTAAGTGACTTGTTCAGAGTCACACAGCTAGTAAGTATCATGCTTCTGAGGCTGGATTTGAACTCAGGTCCTCCTGAATCCAGGGCCGGTGCTCTATGAACTGCGCCACCTAGCTGCCCCAAGATGTCAGGTTTTAAGAGATAAAATGCTAAAGTGGAAAGAATGATGAATTGGTAGTAAGAAGACCTGAATTTGAATCCTGGCTCTGGTGTTTACTGCCCATGTGACCTTGGGCGCTTCTCTGGATCTCAGCTTCTTTTCTGTAAAATTAGGTTAATGGATGCATGGTTTAGTGGGAAGAGCTATACCATGGTTGGGAAATCAGAAAACTTCAGATAAACTTCTGATTCTGTTGCTCTTATGATAGCTATATGACCCTGAGTAAGTCACTTCCCTTCCTTTCAGCTCTGACATTCTGAAACCTAAATCTATGCATGGCAAGTGAACAATCTGTCATCAGAGGAAAAGCATGATGATTCAACTTGCTAAAGGTCAGGAAGGACAAGGTGAGTCAGAAAACCCGAGTTCTAGTTCTGGCCCTACCACTAACTTGCTGTGTGACCTTAGGCAAGTCACTTTCTCTCCAAGGGCTTCAGTTTCTCCATGTCAGTTGAAGGGTTTGTTTCATGTGAGGCAGCTTAGACTCTGACTTATTGCTGGCCATGTGTACATACTAAAGGCAGAACTCTGGAACGAAGAATTGAGGTGGAGGGAGATGCCTTCCAGGGATTTTGTTGTTTAGTCATTTTCAGTTGTGTCTGACTTTTCATAGACTTTTCTTGGCAAAGATACTGGAGTGGTTTGACACTTGCAGGAATACTACCTGGATTTATGTAGTCATTTGCTTGTCTCTCTCTCTCTCTCTCTCTCTCTCCTTCTCTCTCTCTCTCTCTCTCTCTCTCTCTCTCTCTCTCTCTGTCCTCTCCCTCATACTTGTAAGGAAGATCATAAAAGATCTTGGGAAAGTATAGAGGGGTTCAGGAAAAATTATAAGACTTCTAATTCAGCTAGCGCATTGTGGTTTGATGAAAGAAAGTCCTAGAAATGATCTGAGGGGAATGTAAGTGGAACATCAGTATTGATAAGAGTTAAGGTGGAACTTTCTAACTCTAAGTCAGGGAGAGGCTGGAGCAAACGACATGGCTCCTTCTAACAGATAGAAGTAGGTTCAAAGACAGACTAAAGGCCTGCGGGCTCTGATCAGCTGGTTGTCTGTTCTGTGTTCCAAAAGAACTTGGACCCTGGAAACTAAGACTCTGTAAGCTAAAAGACTCTTTCTCCTGATAGAAGAGTCCTACACAGCTAAGATTCTGGGAGATGATGGAAGTCTCTACTCATGGAGAGAAAGTAGCTGATAGTTTTTCCCTAGTCCAGTTTTGGGGTTTACAAAGGGCTTGCTATTCTCACTAAAAGGGCCAAAATGGTGTTTAGGCTGGACTGTAAGGTTTAAAAAAGAGAGAGAGAGAGAGAGAGAGCGAGAGAGAGAGAGAGAGAGAGAGAGAGAGAGAGAGAGAGAGAGAGAGAGAGAGAGAAAGCAGAGCCCACTTCACTTATGGGGAGAGGCAGCATCTCAAGGGACTCCAGCTGAGGCTCAGTAGGTAATAGCAATGAAACAAAACTTGGCAAATGAAGAAGAGAGGGGAAAAACAGCAGGGTGGAGAAGGGATTTGGTACCTGAAAAAGAGCAGGCCCAACTAGGGTAGTGCAACGATACCATCAGAAGTAGGGGTGGGATGGGGAGAGTGTAACCCCAAAGCATGGATTTCCCTTCACTATGTGTGCTCTGGTCTCACGTATTCCCTGTGAGTGTGGCCCTCTGCACATGTGCCTGGCCACATGTACCCTCAAGTGTATGCTTCTATGTGGGTGCCTCAGCCCCCCAAGTCTCTACGGGGCGTGCTTCTCCAATCGTGTTTCCTGGGTAGGACCAAGTTTCTTATTGATGCTCCATGTATTTTGGGAAGGATATGCCAAGTTTTTCCCATTGCTACTTTGTTGCTGTGCTTTTTCATGAAATTCCTTTGCTTAGAACCAGCTGTGTTTTCTGACACAGTAAAAGTAAATAAATACATTGCTAGGGGTTTTTGAGCTATAGAGAGTGACCCACAGAGTTTTGAAATGGGGGCAACCTTTTTGAGGAGGTTCCACGTGTGACTGTGTGTTTGTGTTGTGTGTGTGTGTGTGTGTGTGGGGTCCTCAGGTACTAAAACCTAGGATTACATGTCTGCCCTGAACCCTCTTCTCCCATTCTTCCTTCCCTGCTCAGGACAAAGGACTGTGGGGGAGAGAGAAGGAGCTGACCAGAGAAGATCCCTGTTTTCCTGGAACTCCTAGGTAAGTAGAGGGAGTAGATGAGGTGAGATTTCTCAAAGAAGAGTGGAGAAAAGCAGATTTTCTGAGACTTCCCTCACCCCCTTCATATTCTGTGGAAAAGGTAGCAGCTTCCAATAAACCAGAGGAGGGAGAGAGAGGTGGTTTGGTAAATAGAACTCTTAGGGAAGGTTTTTGAGGTGGGTCTTAGGATGGGCTCTGAAGGAGGAGGAGAGGGGTCAGAGGGGAGGGAGGGCATTTCAGAAGGGAGCAACTATGCCAACAAAGACATAATTCTCATATATACCCCTCTAGCTGGGCTGGCTTCTCACTTGCTTTTGTTTTTCTTCCTCTCCTCCCCTCCTTCTCTCCTCCTCTCCTCCCCTCTTCCCCTCCTTCTCTCCTCCCCTCTTTCCCTCCTCCTCTCTCCCCTCCCCTCCTCCTTTCCTCTCCCTTGCCCTCCCATCCCCTTCTGTCTCCTCCCTTCCCTTCCTCTTCCCTTCCTTCCCCTCCCCTCTTCTACCCTCGCCTTTTTTCTTTTCTCCTCTTTTCTCTCCACCCCTCCTTTCAGATTCCCTCCCCTCCCCTCCCCTCTTTTTCCTTCCCTTCCTCTCCCCCCTTCTCCTCTCTGTCTTTGTGTCTCCATCTCTGTCTCCTTGTCTCTGTGTCTCTTTCCCCATCCCTCCTTCCTTCCATCCCTCCTGCCGTTCCTTTTTCCTCCATCTTTCCTCTTCTGCCTCTTTTTATTCACTTAGCTTTCTCTCCTTTTGTCTCTTTCCTCCTTTCCTCTCCTTTATATCTCCATCACTCTCCTTTCTCTCTACCCTTCCCTTTCATTTTTTAATCTCCTCTTTCTTACTCTGTCCCTGCCTAAATCTCTCTCTTCCCCCGTACACTTTCCTTCTCTCTTCCATCTCTTCTTTTCTTCTGCCTCACTCTCTTTTTCTCCTTTCTCTCTCCCCTTCTTTCTTTGTTCCTTTTCATCTTCTCATTCTCTTTTTTTTCCTTCCCCTTCCTATGCTATCCTATCCTATCCTATATACTTCAGTCCTCTTTGTTCAGTCCCCTGCCTCCTGCCCTTCCTATTATCATGTTGTGTGTGTGTGTGTGTGTGTGTGTGTGTGTGTGTGTGTGTGTGTGTAGGGGCATGCAAGGGGGAGGTGGTACTTTCTTTCTGGGAGACTTGGCTCTTTCTGGGGTGCATAACTGTTTAGCTATACACACACACAGCTACATATAGAGCAGACACATGAATAGAAATAAACGTCTAGGCACACACAATAATTCAAACATACATGCAGAGAAACACATAGAGATTAGACACCCATGCAACTAAACACAGGTACAGGCACATGGAGCCAGACACATCCTTAGAAAGATGCAGATACAAGCACACAGACACAGAGATGGAGATACGCACACAAATGCAGAAACATTCACGCAGATGATGACAGACAGACTGATTTGTTTCACTCATTCACTACAGGTTTCCCAGCGTGGGGTGCGTGTGTGTGTTTAAATAGAGGCTGGTCTTTGTCTTGTGCTTTACTCTGAAAAGAGAAGCTACGGGATCATGTTGTTCAGGTTACCTGAACAGAGTTCTGGTAGCAGAATTTGAGGGACAGGAGGAGGCTGGGGCTGGGCCCCCAAAGGCTCCCTGCTTTCCTCTGTCCCAGAGATAGCACAGATTTTTCTGCTGTGTATGAAGAGTTTTAAGCATTTGGGGGAGGTGTGGCAGGACAGGAGAGGAGATGGGGGATGGATAGGAAAAGAAGGGAGAAGGCTCTTAAATTCTATACTTGCTTTTTCTTCGGGTATGTTTTTTTTATGACTTAAAAGAACCATTGGTGGCTTAGAAATACGAAACATATAATGGATAACCAGGTTTACTCAGAAAATCATCATGTTTTATATGGAATATAGATCATCTGAGCTGAAAAGGGCCCTTAGCATATAGAACACAGAGCTGGAAGGGCACTTGGGTGTGATTGATTCCCAGGCTCTCATTCCATTGATGGAGGAACTGAGGCCTAGAGACAGGGGGGAGAAGGCCTTGCCTAAGGTCATGCAATGAATCAGTCTCCTAGCCTACTCTGTTGCCTCCCAGCTTATATTCAGAGGTATGAAAAACTGGAGGAAGCTGAGAACATTTTTTCCCATTCTGATTTTTTTTCAAAATTCGAGAAAGACCTTAGAATAAAATTCCTTATTCATTTGTTCACATCCAACAAATATCTCTACTTGTCCTTGCCTTCAAGATCCTCGATTTAGAGCTGAAGGGGTCTTAGAAGCTGATGGGTCCAACTCCATCATTGTGCAGATGAGGAAATGGAGACCCTGAGATGTTCAGTCACTTGCTAACATGGCTAGTCAGTAGCAAAGGCATGATTTGAATCCAGGCTCTTTGACTCCAAATACAATGCATTTCCCACTTTCCCATCTGCTTCTCTCTTTTTGGTCTAAGCAGCTGTACTCAGTGACTCCATGAAACCTCTTCTTTTGGAAAAGACGTTTTATTGATGACCTTTTGAATATTATTGCCACTTTCCAATGATGCTGCCCCTGATCTCCCCCCTCCCTTTCCCCTTCCCCCCTATTGGAGGGTTCACCATCCCTTTCCCTTGTAACAAAGAGATTCAATTTACATAAAATAAATTGGCATATCTCTGTGTCTGACAACGTATGCTTCATTCTGCTCCTAGCTCTGGCATGCTGTGTTCTAAGGGCCCTCCCAGTTCTGACATCCTGTGTTCTAAGGACCCTCAGTTCTGACATTCCATGTTTTGTGGACCCTCCCAGCTCTGACACTATATTCTAAGGGTCCTCCCAGCTCTGACATCCTGTGTTCTAAGGACCCTCAGTTCTGACATTCCATGTTTTAAGGACCCTCCCAGCTCTGACACTGTATTCTAAGGGTCCTCTCAGTTCTGGCATCCTGTGTTCTAAGGGTCCTCCCAGTTCTGACATCCTATGTTCTAAGGACCCTCAGTTCTGACATTCCATGTTTTAAGGACCCTCCCAGCTCTGACACTGTATTCTAAGGGTCCTCTTAGTTCTGGCATTCTGTGTTCTAAGGGTCCTCCCAGCTCTGACATCCTGTGTTCTAAGGACCCTCAGTTCTGACATTCCATGTTTTAAGGACCCTCCCAGCTCTGACACTGTATTCTAAGGGTCCTCTCAGTTCTGGCATCCTGTGTTCTAAGGGTCCTCCCAGTTCTGACATCCTATGTTCTAAGGACCCTCAGTTCTGACATTCCATGTTTTAAGGACCCTCCTACCTCTGACACTGTATTCTAAGGGTCCTCTCAGCTCTGGCATCCTGTGTTCTAAGGACCCTCAGTTCTGACATTCCATGTTTTAAGGACCCTCCTACCTCTGACACTGTATTCTAAGGGTCCTCTCAGCTCTGGCATCCTGTGTTCTAAGGACCCTCCCAGCTCTGACACTGTGTTCTAAGGGCCCTCCAGCTCTGACATCCTGTGTTCTAAGGGGCTGGCCTAGCTCTTACAGTAACTAAGAACCAACCATGCTGAACAGTCAGAGATTCCTTTTTGCTCCGGGGTGATCCCGATTGTGGGGGTTTTCCTAACCAGTCTTTCTTCTCTTCTCTTCTCACTCCTCTCAACCCCCCTCCCTGATTCCCCTTTCTTCCTTCTCTTCTGCTCGAGCAGAGGGCTGCATGTATATTTTCAGGATGGAGGACAAGTGGGTTTGAATGTAGTAGTAGAAGGGCTTTGGAGTTTCAGGAATTTCGACTCCCTCTGTGCCTGGGATTCAGAAGACCTGGGTTCTATCCCTGGCTTGGCCACCATGGCCTGTGCACCCTTGGGCTAATTGCTTCCCCTCTGAGGGCCTTAGCTTCCTCACCTCTCTGTACAATGATCGGGTAATAGTATTTATAGCTGTAAGGAACCTGACCAACAGCATATAGCTATAGAGATGATCTAATTCAGTCCTCTTATCTTATGGAGGACAAGTGATTTAGCCAAGCCGCATGAGTAGAATTTGAACTGAACCCAGTCCCCTTCCCCCACCAGCCCTCACTCTAGTCCTCTTTCCAAATATACCAGCCTGGACTAGATAGTTTCAAACAGCCCTCCTGGCTCTAATGTTCTAAGAAAACCTTATCTCCCTAAAGTTTCCTGTATCTCAAAGGAGTAAACCCCTTATCCTGCCATCTCTGGGGATTAATGAAGCTATTTCCCAACTCTCTTGGGGTGTCACACGTATTGGTTAATTCTAATCTTGGGATTGGAGATTTAACAGAGAAACCCAGGGATCTTCAGATCCTCCTAGAAATTTTTTGCCCCGGGGCCTAGAGGTAGAAGAAAAAGGCCAGGTGTAGTGGAGGAAGCTAACTTTCACCTCCTGACTTTAATGGAAATCTGATTATTCCCCACCTTTCAAATATGCTCCTCATCTCTGGCTGGGAGATCCTATAGTGACAGGAGCTACAGGCTGGAAGTCAGGAGGCTCAGGTTTCTATTACTGACTCTGTGCCTCGTGACCTTAAATCAGTCCCTTCTCTCTGGGTCTCAGTTTCCTTCTCTGTAGCACCTGTGGCACTTCCTCCTTCCCAGGGGGACACTGAGTGGCTCTTTCTTCTCTTGACCTTTTCAGTCCTGGGACAAATGAGCCCAAAGATGATTCTGGGTTGGTTTTTCTTAGAGGAAGAGAGAACAGTTGTCTCAGATACATGTAGGTATGTCTTGCTTTAAAAGAGTCTGGGACAAAAATGCACATTTACAATCCATATTCATCTAGCGGGAGGAAATTCTTCATTCTACATAAAGGCAATAATGTGCTGGCAAATATTTAATAACTAAGTCTTGAAAAAAATGACACACTTTTAAAGTTCATCTGCAGTACTAATATTTTCTCCCTCACTTTCTTATTGTAGATCATGTCCAACTCTTTGTGACTCACTAGGGTTTTTCTTGGCAAAGATAGTAGTGATTTGCCATTTTCTTCTCTAGCTCATTTTACAGATAAGGATACTGAGGTAAACAGGGTTGAGTGACTTG